CCCTAACTATATTATGGGCTAACAGGAGAGATGGCTGGCATTCATACCTCTTGAGAGCAGTAGGTGTCTTTCAAATGCATGCGCAGGCATCTTTGAGTGTTACAGTTTATATAATCTCAAAGAGTATAGTGTATAGTCACTATGAGCCAAAATGAAAGAGAAATCTGTGTGTGTTAATGATTTAAGGTTAAGAATATCTTGGATGACATTTTGGAGAAAATTCCAGAAGAATTCAACATGGCAGAGATAATGCAAAAAAATTCAAACAGAAGCCCGTATGTTCTCGTTTGCTTCCAAGAATGTGAAAGAATGAATATTCTCATTCGTGAAATCCATGTGTCACTTCAACAGTTAGACCTCGGTTTGAAGGTAAATTTAGAATGGAATTAGAGGGGGGCATCACTAACATCGAAAGGTACTACAAGACCCTTTTTCTCCATGCAAGGGGGAGCTGACATTATCTCCCGATGTGGAAGCCCTGCAGTCCGCGCTGAGTTACAACAGGGTTCCAGACACTTGGAGCAAACTGGCTTACCCATCTACATATAGCCTTGCACAGTGGTAAGCTACCCAACTTTGCTGCCCCCATCATTACCGCGAGTGCAGAATTATCCATTCTATATTAGGTCTTGTAAAAACCCCAAAGATATGCTCAGCCCATAGCTAGGCAAACTGCAATTTCATTTACGTTTCCTGGGTACATTGCTTCTGAGGGGGGAAAGTAATCAATAGAGCAAGATTCAAACTCTGCCTGTTTCTTGCTCTTGGAATTATACCTCATACGCCAATTTTATTTGAGTTTCCCTCCCTGGTATGTTGCTTCTAAAGCAAAAAAACAAAAAACAAACAAAAGAAGTACATTCAAAGTCAGGGACAGAGCAAATTCTGCCTCTCAATTACTTGTTACTGGAAATATTACTGACTATAAACAAAAAGTACTATGGATGTATTATTTTGCTTTAACAATGTATCCACTCTGCTCAGCCTTGCTTTGCATATCTTGTTCCGGGCTTTCTTTTTCATAACATACTATATAGTAGAGCTGAAGGGGTGGGGCACCCACCCGTGCATGTCCTTCCATATTCTCACACATGCACTCACCCCATTGTAGATCCTATGTGGGATTCAGGGATGTAAGACTTATATCCCCTAGATTGTCTGGTGCTCCAATTCTAGATTCCAAATGCTGGTAGTAGATGAATGTGTTCTGAAATGTACCTATCATTCCTTCACATTTCTTTATAACCTTGTTCTTGGAGTCTGCTACTGTACTTGTGTGAATTCCTTCAGAAGAATATCCCACTTGGACCTATGTGATGTTACAGATGTGAAGATCCATTTCAAAGTGTGCTGCTCTAAATACAGCCTTTCCATGTTCTTGTTGGATCTGTTCATCTGTCTGAATTCTTAGCTGTAAGCTGTGTGTTTGCTGTGCTACTTGTCAGGTGCTGGTTATCTTTAGTTTCTGCCTCCAGATTTTCTTCCTTGATTTCTTTTTTCTCTTCCCAAGATTCATCTTTTTCTTCATATCCCAAGTTAGAAACCTGTTTGTTGGATTTTCTAGTAGTGTTTAATGTCATATAGTCTGCCATCTTTACACCTGAACACTTTGGCTGGTTTTAAAAACAAATTCACATAGTTGGACTCAGCCAGCATTGCTCCATACTGTCAAACTTTGCTGTCTCAAATTTGCATGCTTTATAAATGGATGGTTTTCCTTGGCTATCAAGGGAAGTTACCTTTATAGTCCATATTAAAAAACAGATCTGTGATATGTCTACTGGTTATACAGATTCAAATTTGACTTTGGAAAACTCAAAATTTACTACTATCAACTAATTTTTATAGTTTGTTTTTTTTTTTCGTCGGCCGTGGGGCTTGAACTCTGGGCCTGGGCGCTGTCCCTCAGCTCTTCAGCTCAAGGCAAGCACCCTACCACTTGAGCTACAGCACCACTTCCGGTTCTCTGGTGGTTTATTGGAGATAGGAGTCTCACGGTCTCTCCCGCCCAGGCTGGCTTTGAACCGCGATCCTCAGATCTCAGCCTCCTGAGTAGCTAGGATTACAGGTGTGAGCCACCAGTGCCCGGCTTTTTATAGGTTTTTTGTTTTCACTTAATTACCTTTTCCTGAGATCTTTCAACCTAATTTCCTCAATTCTTAACCTTATATATCAGTGACTTCCTTTTTTATTATTTCAGAATATCTAGCTGCAGTGCCTCTCTCTGGTGTGAGATGTTTTCCCACCCTTGTTGAAATCCTGTTCTTAGCTTTTAGTGTTTGTTATCTTTGTGTAGAGCATCCTCTGTTCCGTTTTATCCTTAGGTACTTTTCGAAATCAGCTATTTGGAAGAATATAGTGCTAGCCAGAGTACAGGTCTATGCTGTAAGCTAGTAGAAATGTTCCCTCGGTGCCCCCAATCTTGAAGGTGAATATTCTCATTTATCTTTTTCATAGCCTTGGGTAAAAGATCTGACATGGAGTGAGGGGTCCCTCGTTCACCAATTCCTTTGCAACTAAACCAAAGGTCTCTGGAAACCTCAGCAGTAGCCTAATGTCAGTTGGTATCTAACCATCTGCTCCATCCCTGTCCTCTTAGCAGCCCTTAAACCTAGGCTTCAAGATTTCTCCTGTTTACAAATTTTACCAGAGCCTCCTCTTTTCCTTGGCCTCCAGGAGCCAGCTTCCTTGTAACTTGGTACTTTATACTTTACCCAATTGTGAGAACTAGATGAAAGAACACGTTTCTCAGAGCCGAGCATGGATGGCAGATGACTCTCCTTAGGACCTTTTCCCTTCCCCTTTTGAGTGATTATCACAAGAGAAGTTTGCTCCCATACTGCATTCCCTCTACCTGGTCTCTCAAGGACCATCACAGCTTCCTTCCCACATCCTCAGGAATGCTCACAGCTTCCCGACCTCAACTGTTAGCCCAATTCATATAGAGATGACCTAGGCACACTCACCACACAGCAGCAGGATGGAAATAAAATAACTGGGTAGTTTTCCCACTGTGTCCCCAGTGTGTCCTGTCCTGAGGGTTAACAGCTATACACACTGCAGGTACAAAACAGTCACAGCAAACGAGCTAGTCCTTAAAGAGACAATGGCCCACAAATCACCAGATAAGCACTTCATCAGTTATCAGGGCTGTACTTCCCTACAAACCCAACCCTTGCCTACCTTCTCCACCGTCTTACTGTAAGATATCCATTTCACTAAAACCATCTTTATTTCTTCCCACCTTGGGTTAACCAGGTTTAATGACCTCCTCTTACGCTGCCGAGAACTTGACACCTGGACACAAGACCTTGCCCTCCCAGCTGTCGTGTGGCTTTCCGGCTTCTTCAACCCTCAGTCCTTCTTAACAGGTGAAGTTGAAGCCTGACTACTGACAAGACTACACCCTGATGGGAGTCCAGCCTTGTTCTTTCTGTGATGCTTTTGTGTCTCTGCCCTGCTTGCCAGTCCTCAGGCAGCTGCCTCTGCTGAGAGGAAGCAGGGAAGGGTGTAAAAGACAGAAAACAGTGCAGGGGTGAGGTGCACTAGGTGGAGGGCCTCATAGCCTGTCACTTTTCCACTTTGCCGGTACTATAAGAACTACAGACAACTGGCTATTACTGTTCGGTACACCTGGACTGAAAGCTCAGATGGTCTTGCAGGCGGCACTGCAGCTGATGGGAATGTGTATATACATACAGCTTTTTCAAGTCTTCATTTCTCTCCCAAAGCGATCATGCAGACCATGGCTCGAAAAAATGAGTGGCCACTGGACAGAATGTGCCTGACCATTGATGTGACCAAAAAAACGAAGGAAGATTATGGCCACCCCCCAAGGGAAGGCGCATACCTTCACGGGCTCCTCATGGAAGGTGAGACACCTCAGGACACACAGGTGGCACCTCTGATGGCGAGGCTTGCTCCTCAGAATCCACTCACCTTATGACAGGGTTTCTCTTGCTTTTTCTTGTTCCCTTGAGCAACTTACACACAAGATGTGGGTTCATGTGAGCCAGATTCTGAGGTAATTTGAGTGATTCTTCCATACTACAGATGGAGAATCCATTAATGCCCTGGGATACCTCAAGACCTATTCTGATTTCCCAACCAATCCAAGATTTGTTCTCTACTTTAAAAAAAAAACTATCACTACATTTGTTCTAATATGTTCTACCAAACTTCTTGAAGGTGGAGAAGAATGTTATCCTTTTTTTGTCTCTCAGAGGGGACTTGAGAATGTAAAATATTCCAAATTTATTTGGCTATGCATTGATTCTTTAGGACATCTAGTCTTTGCCAAGAACACCTTTTGTACTTTAAAGTCTGTGTAAGAGATTATCTCTTATTAGAATGGTCTAATAAGACAATTGGAGATATTTTGTGTGTGTGGTAGGGCTTAAACTCAGTGCTTTAAACTCTGACTCTTTTGCCCATGGCTAGCATTCCCCCTGGTCACACCTCTACTCCCAGCTAGTTAATTAGAAATATAAATCTCAGATATTTGTCTGCCCAGACAGGTCTTGGCCTTCTTGGTAAAATAGTGTCTGAATTTGTATAGAATCTATTTTCATTAAAGTGTTTTTAGTCAAGGAATAATATCTATGCACAGGAGCAGCAAGTTAATCTCTCTCCAACCTAGTCATGGTCAGCTAGGTCAAGACACCACTGCCAGGTAAAGACATGACAAAACTGGTACATTTATTGAACCCAACAATTAGAACATCAGTACCAACATGCCTTGCAATTTCACCCCAGGTGCCAGATGGGACACCCAGGCAGGATCCATTGTTGAAGCCCGCCTCAAGGAGTTGAGGTCGACAATGCCAGTCATCTTTGCCAAAGCCATACCCATGGACAGACAAGAAACCAGACAAACCTACGAATGCCCTGTGTATAAAACCAAAATGAGAGGCTCTACCTACGTCTGGACTTTCAGACTGAAGAGCAAAGAGAAGGCTGCTAAATGGGTGCTGGCAGGCGTGGCTCTGTTGCTTGAAGCATGAGATGGCTTTGGTTGCTGGGACTTGCGTTCCTCCTGCCTCTGCTGGGTACAGTAAGGATGGGGCATTGTGGGCCTCACTGCTCCCATGCACCTGATTCTATTCTACTGAAAGGTATAAAACATTCCAGCTTATGGAACTTTTTTTTTTAGCAATTTACATGTGCATTCTTTTTGTTTCTGTGACATCATCCTTAAGAAGTTGAAAGAGTAGCAAATATAGAGAAAACTCTTAGAAACCTGGCCCTATTTGTGCTCATTCTTAGCTTTCCCTAATAACTCTCTGACATGCCATGACTTAAAGTAGTACAGTGTCTTACATTTTCACCAAGGTTCCACTGAACATACTCATAACCTCAAGAGCAATACAACTGTGGGAGTGGGGGAAGGGAACTAGTTCGTATATGCTATGCATCTTTTTAAATTAACCCTTAAAATCTTTTAAAAGCAGCAGGCACTCTGAGCCCTCCAGTGTCTGTACCTTGACAGTCCACTTCTGGTAAGTTCTAACAGTAACTCTCACATTCTGTGGTTAATTGCACTTTGTAATTTAGGGGAACATTCAGGATAAATTTCCAATGGCTCACAGCAAGATAAACCGTAGTTTGAGCTCAGTCATTCAGAATAAGGCAAACCAAAAGTAATGAAGCCTGTTAAAATGGCTGGGGGAATGAGAGAATTACACAGTGCCAAAGGTAAAAACTGTTTATGCAGATTTCCTCTGTAAACTTACCTGGACTTTTAACTCCACCCCATTTAAATTGTGCTTTTGAGTCACTGACAGATATGGCCAACGCAGGTCTGTACAGCATGTATATACAGATTCCTCTTCTATTTTCCTGAGAAATCTTTTTAAGCATATAAACATTTTTTTTAAAGATAGTATTTAGGAACAGTAAAAATCTCCAAAATAACCTTCTGTATAAAAACACAAGTGTAAGGAATCTTAGGCATCAACGATAGGCATTCTTGGAGTACTCTGGTGAGTTGACTGATTCTTTTTTCCTCTCAATTGTCTTCTACCAGCTGCTTTTGTAAGCTGGGGAAAGATGAGAAGTGTTTTCAGTAGGTAATCACACAGAGGCAATCACAAAGCAGCATTCTCTAGGCTAGAGAGCTTTGAGAACTCCATCTTCAGAATATACACCCCAGTCTCCTGACTCTTTCTCCTTTTCAAACCCAGAGTCTGCCCTCAGGACGACTTCTCCACTCTGCCATGTAGTATAGTTGTACATGAAGTACAAAGACCATGGCAGAGCTCCTTCCAGGCATCACTCATTCCATGACTTCAGAATTCATCACAGAAGTGACTTACTGTCCGTTCTCTCTGCTCATTATTGTTATCACTGCCTGGCAGTGCTTACAGTCTCAGCCTGCATTGTCTAATTCCCTCCAGTTCCTTTTTACCATAAAGGGAAATTTTTGGTTCAGGGCGGTAGGGAGTTGAAAATCTAGCAAAGGAAGAATTTGCTCTCAGGGAAATAAATAGGCCTGAGCTTCTCCAATGGATGATTTCAAGGGGGTTTCTATAAATCAAGAACAGTAGTGACCCCACACTGGACTCCAGGGGTCACAAACCCCTAGTTTTAAGTTGTTAGAGACTTACCTTTCCAGATATTCTTTAACATTATTATAACCATAGAACTTAGCCAGATGAATGAGGATCCCTGTGGCACAGCGGCCGTCGCGCCTCCGGCAGTAACTACAGTTGCAGATCCCCCGGCAGGGAGGGCACATCCAATCCTACATGAAAAATGAGGGTGCGCATTTCATTTCTCCCAGTCTCTCGCCAGACCATGGATTCTAATCAAGCCTGGCTCTCCCTCTCCTCCAGTTTTAGTTATATAGCCCTTCCAGACTGTGCTGCAGGGGACCTTCAGCCTACAAGGGTATAGTTAGCCCATGCACCAGTGACCTTCCTTCTCAAATGCAAAGCTGACCACCTCATGTCACACAAAAAAACGGAAGTGTCTTTTTTAGACAAGGTCGTCAGCTGTATAGGATTAGTTCCAGAGCCTCTGTTAAGAAACCATGGAGAGTTTCAAGTTTTTAGACACTTGCAGCACCCTCCTCTATGGTTCTAGAAGCTCAAGATTTGCTAATGATAGAGGTATAGACTCCAGCTCTGCTACCTGTGTGCACTGTTAAATCACTTACCATCGACATGATGCCCGTAAGCTGGGGACAGAACATGGACCCTGCCCTGTACCCCGCCCTGTATATAACTACTACAGAAGAGGATGAGAACACAGACCCTGGAGCATTCAGTAAATCCAAACTTTTCTCCCACCCTGTCAGTGAGCATATCCTCTTCCCAGAAGGAAGTGCCATTTGTCACTTCCTCAGAGTGGAAGATGGAGGAGGGGAACGTGCAGCAGCACTCTGTGGTATGGGTCACCCACCTGCATATCCCCTTCATCAGCCCATATGCCCAGAACACACGCTGCTCCTACCGGGTCTAGCAGGGCCTCTCGCACGTCCTCCCCGTAGCGGTTGCGCAGGCATGGCCCACAGAACTGTCCTCGCACACCACAGCAGTCCTGGTTCCGACACACCGTCTTAGTGTCAATGGTCTTCTGCCGGCACTGATGGCAAGTGTTACCCTGGGGCACCAGGGAACGCCGTTACTACATTACCAAGCGCCCAAGGCAGCCCTATGTCTCTTACGAAGAACCACAGTGGCCTAGGATAAAATATGGCGCCCTCCACTGGAAGCCCTTTAGTTCTGGGCCAGAGAAGTACACTGGGGCAGATGAGGCTGAGCAGGAAGGTCAAAAGGAATGAAATCTCCAGGCTGATGGAGGAGTGACCAGGAGCAACTGGGGCAGCGATGAACGGACCCCACCCAGGTGACAGGGTGATGACAAGCCCCAGGCACCATCCATTCCAGACTGAGGCTGGAGCCTTCATGAAGGCCTTCAGTGTAAATCCTCCTGGCTTTAAAATGTTGCCAGTTCAACTACAGACATTTTAACAATACTTTGAGCTGTTATTTTTCCAAGGAAAAAGAAAACAACCACAAAGCCTCCCTCTAAACCATCATTTAGAAGAAATCTTAACTCATTTCTTACTAACTGAAAATTCTCCTTTTTCTTGACTATTGCCCTCCAGTATACTTTTTCACTATTGTAAGATACAATAATAACAATTGTATACACACACATTTCTCTAAACTCTCCTCCTACCTGCCTTCCCCCACCCAGACTATGGGCATGCTCAGGGAGCCCTCTCTCCTGAGGAGGTTCACTGCACTGTCTTCCTGGTTATTGTAACTCTTAATCCTAAATTTGGGGAGAAGACATGAAAGCCCCAACACAGTTTAAACACAATCCACAATCCAGGCTTTCAAATACCAATGTCTTGGACTCACACTTGAGTCACAATTATGGGGATTACTCGTAAGGTATCTTTCTTACCAGAACTTTATCATAGATTTTATCCCGAACGGTTATGGCAACGTTTTCCAAGTCCTCGTCAGTAATATCCTCCACTGGACGATAAGAAGACAGGCGACGGCGCTGTCTGTACTTCTGGCATTTTCCCTGCAAAATGAACAACAAAACTTGGAATTAGATACATGTTGGGCAGTTTAAAATAGTGTAACAATCTCAACCTCTCAAGAGACCTAGCATCACTATTTACACTGACCCCTTCCCTCTTTAGTGTTGACAGAGGCACTAAATAGGCATTTGTCCTACATCAAGTTTTCTTTCGTGGAAGTGGCACAGCTATAAAGGAGGGGCTTGGGCTCTGGGGTTCTGTTCATTCTATGGAGACTTAGAAGCGAACCACATAACAAGCCAAGCCTACAGTATGAAGGCTCCACAGAATCTCCCTCCAGATTGATGGCACACAAAAGGCCCATTACTGAATCCACTTAGCCTGGGAAAATCTGCTACTTTCCATCCTGCAGAATGTCAAAGCTGGCTGGAGCTGTTTACAGGCCTTTAGTGCCTGTAGCTTTGTTTCTGTGGTTCTAAGAAATCAAATCTAGGGTTTCCTGCATGCATGTGCAAGGTTCTACTACTGAGACATAGCCCTCAACTAAGCCCAGGGATCATCTCAAAATGTACTATCCAGAACATGATGATCACACCTTAAGAAAAGTTCTCAACACTACAGGTCTCCTGTAACCACCATGCCTGTCCCCATTTGAGAATCAATGAATAGGCCAAGGATAATGTATTTCAGTGAGAAAATACCCCACTGATTGTCTTCCTTCTTCTCAGAGTATAGAACTCTTCTGCAAATTTGGTGGTGGAGAGGGTGAAGTTTTCTAGCGCAAACTTCTCTGGGGGTCGTGCACTCCGGGTTGGGTTCATACGCCGTGTGATCTGTCCTTCTGAGAAGGCCCGCCGTGTTGTTTTCTTCTTCTGAAACCAAGAACATGGACACACGTAACTCGGGGCTCATAACAGACTGGTTACCAGACCCTTTGAGTAATGAGAAGGAGTTCTACTTACAGAAGCTGAGGCTGGGGTTCGTACTGGAAACAAGTCTGGCATTGAGTTCAATTCTGCCAATAACTGAGCAAGCTGGGGTTAGAACAAAAGAAAGGATCTCACATCAATCATTGGCTGTCAGGTCTACACACTCAACCCTTGCCACAAGCCTTCTGTTTTCCTACTCAGGTACTCTGCATAAACCTTAGCAGTCCTCACAAGGAAAAGATTTTCTCTCCAGCAGCAAGAAAGCTGGCATCATTCATCTGAGCCAACTTTGTATTTGTGCCTTATCCCACAGAAACAACAGGACACAATAAAGACAATTCTAGAATGTCCAAGGCCAAGATCATGAGTTTCAGATCCTGACTCAGCCACCAAATTTAGCAGTGTGACAAATTTACATACCTGGGTCTCAAATTTTCAGTGTGTCCAAAAAAGCAAAAGGCTTAACTAGATGATTATAATTCATGGTTTTAACTCTAAAAATCTGACTCCTCATAACATAATTTAAAAATAATTTCTGAAGATATTTTGAAATGAATATCTAGTCATACCAAGCAACACGCCAACCAGAAAATATAATTAGGATTCTTTTCTAATTATATTGGATAACTGTTAGATTTAAATGTGTATAGCACTAAAAAAAAATAGTTCTTACTAGAAAGGATATAGATGGATACGGTTCATATAATCCTAGCTACCCAGGAGACCAAAATCAGAGGACTGATGTTTGAAGTCTGCCTGGGCAGAAAACTCTAAGAAACTATCTCCAGTTAGCTAGCAAAAGAGCAAACTGAAGGCATGGCTTAAGTGATAGGGTGTGCCAGCTGTGAGCAAGTAAGAGAGCAAGTCCCACTATTAGCACAACAACAACAACAACAAAACTTTCTTTTAGCCAACCACACATTGGTAAAGATTACCCCAAAGTAGACATTTGAGTTTTCCTAAGTAACTCATAGATATATGATCCCAAATACAGTAACACTACATTATATTTGTTTACAAGAAAAATATTAAAAAAGAATCCCAAAATGAAGAAAGTGATTCTGAGTGGTAAAACTCTTTAAAATTTTTAGTTATTGACTACTTACAGAAAAAGACAAAAACAGTTAAAGATTTCACCTTCTTATATTTTTTTCTAACGAAAACTTCTTTTAAAAGTGAGTTAAAGCCACTGAGGTTGCTTTAATTTCTGGACTTTTCCCCATCCTTCAGATGGTGTCTTCACAGGAAAGCAGTTTCCAGACAAAAACCACCTTCCTACTTTGCAACTAGGCTTAGGGACAGCCAAGAGAGAATTTCCTCTTTGCTACTTTCTGCCTGAAGAATGCATCTGTCCAGTTCCCTGCATCCCCCACCGCCACCCTGGCCAATATCATGGCTGATTTCTAGCTTAACCTGACATACAGTAATTTTCTTCAGTTCCTACTCCCTGGTAAGGGGCTAGAAATGGCCCTAGAGTCTTTCTATTCCCAAACCAGAGCTAATCGTGTGATAATTGCTTTGGGTTCAAGAAAAGGGAAACAGGACCCTTGGAGGACACCTTCCTGAGAGCAGCTTCTGGGGCAGAGATGCTCATCAGCCTCTTGGCTGCTGTCAGACTTGCTCGCTCCCAGCAGACACAGCCCACCCAGGCCTTACCATGGCCTTGTTTTCCTTGATGTTCATGGTCCTCTTCTGCAGGGCATCTGAGCTCTCCTGGCTCTCATCCCTCAAGTCATCCTCCGACTCCGAGGCGGAATCATCCCTTTCCTGTGCCGCTCTACAGTTTCTGTTTCTTCCAAGGATATTTTTACTGTCCTGTAAGTGTGAGCTTGGAAACGATAGTTCCGAAGAGCCATTTTTGTCTGACTTTTTTGCCAACTTCTTGGTGGGAAACTGGAAGGCCACTCGAAGACCAAGGCTGCTTCTTTGAGACCTTCTTCTTGTAGGGATGGCTTCATCCTCTTCCTCTCTAGCCTGAGATGCTTTCTCCTCCTCACTCAAATCTGATGCCATGAGCTACCAAAGGAAGAGAGGAAAAACGTGGTCTTTAATAGATCTGCCAGAAAGCAAAAAGCAACAACCCAAAACCCCCAAAATAAAACCAACATGCATTGAAAACTACTGTGGAGGCTGGGAGAATATAGAGCTTAATAGTGTGCTGTGGCACCAAAAAAAATAAAAAACAAAACCATATTTTGGTTTTGTTTGGAAGAAGAGAGGTAGTAAAAAGCTTCCTGCTTGTTATTTATTACTATTTATCCAAGATCTTTATTTAAACCCACAAAGCATGCTAGTAAATTCAAAGCTCAAAGCACTGAACCATGTACCAGTCCAGACCACTGACAGGCTGCTGTGGGATTGAGCAATAATACCCTGACAACACTGAGTTCCTCCATATTGGGCAAGCTTCTGGCACATCGAAGCCCAGTGGAAAAGAGAGTAGTTAAGAGCGCGTGAATGACAGAGAGTGATCTTCAGACAAGCCAGAAACAAGCATGAATCCCAGGACATCAGCTCAACCAGCAGAAACACAGCTCATGGCAGGAGAGCCACCTTCACCAAGTGACCATGTAGTAAGCAGAGGACCTGCCAATGAGGTCTGTAGGAGATGTCCTCAGGCCCAGTGTGCCCTCAGTCTAGAGACAGGCTCCCTCTCTACCCAGACAGCGCTCTAGGCTGTTGCAGAGTACCAGTCAGTCAAGACAGCACAAGAAAGTCTCACCCCACAATTTTGCATGTGTGTTTGTGTGTGTATATGTGTGTGGTGTGTGTGCATGGCAGTCTTGGAACTTGAACTCAGGGCCTGGGCGATTCCCCTGGGCTTTTTTGCTCAAGGATAACATTCTACCACTTGAGACATAGCTCCACTTCTGGCTTTCTGAAGGTTAAATAGAGATAAAAAGTCTCAAGGACTCTCCTACCTAGGCTGGCTTTGAACTGCAATCCTCAGATCTCAGCCTCCTGAGTAGCTAGGATTATAGACAGGTGTGAGTCACTAGCACCTGGCTAACCCACATTTTTTTTTTTTAACTCCACATAGTACAATGTGAAAGCCTTGTGAAAGCCTTGGTTTTATAAGTGTATACTGTTAGGGGGCTGTGACAGGGTGCTATCATTGAGGTAACGGAAGTGCTTGAGATTCATCAGGGACTCTGAGAAACAAGACAGACAGGTTTCAGTACCTGCCATCAAGGACACATCTCCTAGGCATCTTTCATGGACCACACGTGAGAAAACTCACCCTGGGAACCACGTTCAGAGTGCTGAAAGGGGCATCCCTGAGCAGAGAAGCAACAGCCTGGAACCAGCTGAAAACTTGGCTGCTTCCTCACCAAAATTCTAGTTGGACTCATTGTGAGAAGGGAGGGGAAAGGCAGCTGACTGCCAACCTGCACCTTACCAAGTAGAGAAATAAGAATACATTGTTCCTGGAGTCAGATGGCAGGTTAGCGGTTTCCACCATGGGACTCCAGAGTAAGAGCTGAGATGACAGAGCAGAGCAAATGATGGGAATCACACAGTTGGACACAGGACAGCTAAAAAGCACAGGGAACCGTAAGAAGTGACAGTCCAAGGAAAAATGGGAAGCAGTCCAACCCAAGCTCCAGGGATGGGTGGACACACACACACAGAAGGGCATTAGGACAGCTGAAGCCCACAGCCCGGGTGACAAGAGATCAGCAACCCAAGCTGCGTAAGAAACCATTAGCTCCCGTGGGGAGTTGGCGACAGTGACTCCCACATGGCAAGCCAGCACTGGAGAAGAAAGGCATCTGTTGACCCCAGAATCTCCAAACGTTACATAGTCTGGTACCAACTATTGTTTGAGACTGGGATACTCCAAGAACCTGAAAACAAGCATCAGTCATAAATCGGGGAGCCTGGGAACACGTTGCCACAGGGCCTGGTGGAAAACAGCCACGTTTGTACAGAGGGAGGAAAGATGAAGCAGCAGAGATCTGAGGCTATGAAGGACACAGTAAGCAGTACAACTCCCTCAGCAGTGAGGAGCGAGCACTATCGCCTGTGAACTATCACAGAAATCGAGAGTTGAGCCCAGCACTGGCAGATGACTGATGTCCACAACCTTCTCCCTCCAGTAGAGTAGTTTACCCCAGGACAGGGTCTAAAAGCCCTGGGACTGACAGGAAGCATGCCAGGAGCTTCTCCTCTCTCTCCTCAACCAGTGTGGAGCTCAGTGCTATTTCCTAGCTCCACTCTCCATCATTCTTGGCAATATCTTCCAGCTTGGAGGTGTGCTACCCAGGGTGTACCAACTGGGGAGCAAAGGTTCTGGGGATGACTGGGAATGTGCCCAGCTCACAAACCACAAAGCTTGATTGGGGGGGGGGGGGGGGCAACAGTGGCTCCTAGTAAGGACAGAAGGGAAGTTTCTAAAGTGAAGACATCTCTGACAGACTCCCTGCCTGGCCCACGCTCATCATTATGGACGAAGGACTCCAGACACAGCATATCGGACTCACTCTACCACAGACCTGGCAAATTCCAGTGTTAGAGGGCTGGGAAGGAGCTTCACTACTTCTTGGTCTTTTTGGTTTTGAGTCGGATTTTGGCTTTGCTTTTTTGTTTTTGTTTTTCCCCTCTTCCTTACTATAACTTCCTCTTGTTTCTACATTACTTCCTTTTTAAAATATTTTTATTCCTTTCTATCTTCATTTAATTGTATTCACATATTTCTTTGTTGTCAGGTGTTTTTAATTGCTTGATCTTTTTTTTTTTTCCTCACTCTTACTGAACCATGCTCCTTTCTCTCCTTAATCATGACCCTCTCCTTTATTTCCTTCTGTTATTACTTTTGGGCATTTTTCATTTCATAGTTTGTTCTACCTTATTTTTGCTACTTTTGTTTCTCTTGCTGTTAGTGGTGTGCTCCTTCTCTTTAACCTGGTCTTCATTCTTTCCCTTTCTGGTTTGTTTTGAGGGTGCTGCTGTGAGTGGTTTGTTAGAGACTGAGCCCATCTGTTCATTATGACCCCACAGGAAAACAGAAGAGACATTTCTCCAACAGCAAAACACAAAGACAAAAACATAAGAAATATGAAAAAGGCAACATGACGCCTCCAGAAACCTTTACTTGTTCAATAACTGAATCCAAAGATAAGGAAATGGTTGAAATGCCAAAGAGTTTTAAAGTCTATTTGCAAAAATGATCAAAGAGGTGAGTGCTGGTAACTCACACTTGTAATCCTAGCTACTCAAGAGGCTGAGATCTGAGAATCACAATTTGAAACCAACCCAGGCATAAAAGTCCCCAAGACTGTCAGCTCCAACTAACCACCACAAAGCTGGAAGTGGAAGCTCTAGTGGTAGAACACCAGCCTGAAGCAAAAAAAGCTAAGGGACAGCGCCCAGGCCTCAGTTCAGTACCAGTACGTACACGTATACACACATCAATGAACTCCAAGATGACTCAGATAAACAGAGAAAAAACTTCAGTTCAAAACCTAGACCAAAAAAAAAATCCAACAAAGATTCTGAAAAACAAAACTATGGAAATGAAAGCTCAATAAACAAAACTCATCAATAGCATCAATACAATAGAACAAGCAGAAAAACAATCTCAGAGACTAAAGACAAGTGAAGAAATTGTGGCATTCAGATGGCTTTAATGAAGGGGGAAAAGGTAACCATGACTACAAATGCTGAAAATGTCTAGATAAACTGACAAAACTTATCCATCTGTGGTATAGGTAAGTGACAGGCTGAAAGCACAGAGAACCTATTTAATGATAGCAGAAAACTGCCCAAACATACAGAGAAAAATGTATATCCATACAGGATACATTTGGAAGGCAAATAAACATGACCAGAAAAGAAACCAAGAGAGCAGTGCACAGAAAGAATACCAAAAAAGCTGCAAAAGAAGGCAAGCTTCTAACAAAGAGAAAACTCCACAATAACTGATCTTTTAGCAGAAACTCTAAAAGCCAAGAGAGAGCCTGGACTGATGTATTTTACAAAGTAACTGTCAGCCAAAACTACTGTATCTAGCAAAGTTATCCTTTAAAAATCGAAGGAGAAACAAAGATCTTTCACAATAAGCATAAACTAAAGCAATTATGACCACTAAGCCAGTACTACAGAAAATACATATAGAAATGCTGTACCCAGAAGAGGAAGAAAAATATGCCAAGCTGCAGAACTCAAAAAATAATACATATTCGATGACTACATAAACAAATGAGAACCAAACATTATTAACTCAGCCAGCAAACTACTAAACTGACAAAGGGAGAAAGTATATATTTTTCAATATTAACCCTAAATGTAGGCTGAGCATAATTGAGGATACATGTAATTCTACCTACATGTGAGGCAGACATCAGAGGACTGTCAGTTCAAGGCCAGCCTGGGAAAAAAAATTTAACATTCCATCTCAAAAATAAAGTCACCTACATGTGAAATATACCTATTGTGTTAGTTATGGGGGAGGTAGATGCAGATAGGGAGATTATGGTCTAAGATTAGCCTCAGGCAAAAGTGTGACCCTATCTGGGTGGGGGAGGGGGTAGGAGAAGGGAAAAGAGGTTTGGAGTGTGGCTCATGTGGTAGAGTCCCTGCCTAGCACACATGAGGTCCTCAATTCAAATTCTAGTACTGTTACAGGCACTCCAAGAAACACAGCAGTCAATAATTGAAGACACAAAAACAAAGAACTATGTAAAAGAAGGTGCTATCAGTAGAAATCCAAGCAAGCAAGCATGTGGAGCAAGTGGGCTGCTTCCTTTTTATCCCCAATACAACAGGCCCTGCCCCTCTGCTAGAAGGGCCAAGCTTTGGTTGACAATAGCTCACAACTGGCTAGTTTGGGGAGGGTAAAAAGAAACTTTTTAATAGAATGTAGCTTAATTAACAAAAATAGAATGTCATAATAGGAGAAGGAATAGGATTTAAATAAAAACTTAATGCGCTTATGATAGGATGTTTTGACAGGAACAGGAATAGGATGTAGCTAAAATTTAATGAGCTTTCAATAGGATTTTTTAACAGAAGCAGACTAGGATGTAACTAAAATTTAATCAACAAGAGACAAGCCACTTGGCCAGAGTAGGAACTTTTCAGAAAAAGAATTTTCACAAAATTGACAGAAAGAAAGCAACTTCCCTTGATAGCTTTCCTCACAGTACCACAAAACATATGATAGATGATCTTAATTCTCTGATAAAAAGACAAACTACTGGTGGAGTAGATTATAGAATAAGCTCTGATTATGCCTTGGCTCCAAGTAATTCTCTTCACTAGCAAAAGCATTTTGAGAAGTAAAAGGATAGAAAGCGAATGATACTAAGCAAATGGAATCTGAAACAAGCAGGATAGCTCCCCTCGTGTTTGACAAAGCAGACTACAAGCCAAAATTAATCAGAAGAGATGAAGAAGGTCACCTGGTATTAATAAAGGGAAGAGGTCATAAGGAGATGGACTGGGAATATATCCACACCAAATGTTGGTGCAGTGAAATTTTATGAAAACAAATATCTCTAGCATAATGGTACAGGCATGTCCAAATACAATAATAGTAGAAAATCTCAATACCCAACTCATGTCAACAGTTGAGACAAAAAGACAAAGAAACTTCCGAGTTAACTGTGCCATAATACATCAAATGGACTTACACCTCTACATGAGCCCCCACCCCCAATAGCTGTGGAATATGTTTTCTTCTCAGCAACCCAGAGAACTTCCACTAAGACGGACATTTAAGACGATAAACCAAGTCTTAACATATAAAAATAAATCATTTTTGGTTTCCTATCAGATCATAATAGAATACAATTGGAAACCATGAGCAAGAGAAACTATACGAACTATAAAAACAAGTGGAGACAAAGTCTGAATGATCAGTAGATCATAGAAGAAATTGGTAGATGAGGAGAATCTGACATTTCTACAGTCAAGCCTGGCACAGTGGCTCACACAGGGACACAGTTAGTGAGACTCCATCTCATCCAATAAGCTGAGCATGGAGCATGCCAACTTGTCATCCCAGCTACATGGAAGACATCAACAGGAAGACTGCAAGGTAAGGCAGCCCAGGATAAAAAAAGAAAAAAATAATGCGTGACCCTATCTTACAACAAAGACACAAAAAAGCTTCCCAAGTACAAGGCTCTGAGATCAAATCTTAGTATAATCAAAAAAATTAGAAACCTTTTCTAGAAACAAGTAAAAATGAAAATACAACTTGTCAGAACCTCTGGGATACAGTGAATATAATGATAAGACTGCCTACATTAAAATACCAGATTTTAAGAAGAAAAAATTATGTAGTTCAAGCTCTTAAAAAAGAAAACAAATACAAGAACCGTTGGGCACCCATCACTCACATCTGTAATCCTAGCTACTCAGGAGGCTTGAGCTCTGAGGATCACAGTTCAAAGCCAGCCTGGGCAGAAAAGTCTGAGACTCTTATCTCCAATTAGCCACCTACAAGCTGGAAGTAGAGCTGTGGATCAAGTGGTAGAGTGCTAGCCTTGAGCAAAATAAGCTCAGGGACAGTTCCAAGACCCAGAGTTCAAGCCCCAGGACCAGCACAAAACAACAACAACAAAAAAAAACAGAACAAGCTAAACTCATAATCAGTAGAATAAAACCAGGGTAGAAATCAATGAAAAGGAGACTAAAAAACTATTAACACATCAGAGTTGATTCTTTGTAAAGATAAACAAGAGTGACAGCACCTTATCAGCTGTGAAAAGAGAGGTATACAGATACCACTGAAATAGGGAGCCAAGAATGGATAAAATTTGAAACACACAGGACCTGAACCAAGAGGATATAAACTATTTACACAGATCTCTCAGTAATGAGACTGAAGCAGTAACATTCTCCCACCAGAAGGGGGAATTTTTTTTTTTTTGTAAAGGACAGGACAGATTTACTGATGTCTAGGAGACCTTTAAAGAAGAAACATCAGCTGGGCCCTGGCAGCTGTCACCTGTAATCCTAGCCACTCAGGAGGCTGAGAACTGAGGCAGTTCAAAGCCAGCACCATGCCACACTCTAAACCAAGGCTGCAGAGGCTCAAGACTACTGAAAGCCATCTTGCTTGTCTCTGAGAGAAATGAATGGTGGCCAAGGGATCAATCCTGCTGGTGTGACTTTTATATTTGAAGGTTAGTTTTGACGATAAATAGAAGCCAAACTTTTTTCTAAGTGATTTTGGGGGGTTTTTTTGGTGCTAGTCCAAGGGCTCAAACTCAAGGTCTGGGCACTCTAAACTTTCTGGCTCAAGGTTAGTACTCTACCATTTGAGCCACAGCTCCACCTCCAACTTTTTTGGTAGGTAGGTATAGATTAGAATCTCACAGACTTTCCTGCCTGGGCTGGCTCTGAAGCATGTGATCATCAGGTCTCAGCCTCCTGAGTAGATGAAGAGACTTTTGCCCAGTAAAACTACTGCTCAGAAACAGGACCAATAACTCTGTGACCCACAATCTAACGCTGCTGTTATTACCGTGGCTTCTGAGGTACTGCTGGTGCTCAGCTCACTCTGTGTAAAGCCTTCGAAGTCCTCAGTGTCAGAGTCCGTGTCCTCAAAAAAAATCCTCCTCAGTTCTTCTGTGAAATATTTGGAATGGAAACTTCGCACATCCTGCTGAATTAAAAACACACATGTGAAAATGAACTCCACAACTTGTGGGTGGGGACAGGAGGGAAAAACTGGGGAGTGAGGGAAGATGTGGCATTGTGAAAAACAAAACACCAGTGGTTCACACTGTAATCCTAGCTTTATAGGAAGCTGAGATATGAGAATTGTGATTCTAAGCCATCCCAATCAGGAAAGTCTTTTGAGACTCTTATCTTCAATTAACCAGCAAGAAGACAGAAATGGAGCTGTGGCTCAAGTGGCAGAGTGCTACTCTTGAGCAAAACAGCTCAGGGACAGCATCCAGGGGCTGAGTTCAAGCCCCAGGATTGGCACAAAAAAAAAAAAAGAAAAAAGAAAGAAAAAGAAAAGAAAACCATAAACACACATTTAAGCCAGATACAATGGTGCTGACCGTAATACAGTGCTTGGGAGGTAAGACAGGATGATCTCAAGTTTGAGTCCAACCTAGACTATACAATAAGACCCAGTCACAATAATCAAAACAACAAAACACCAACTACTACGCATTACAGAGACTGAGCACATTTCCCTTTCATACCCACTGGGGGCCCTCTAACCCATGATGGGGAGACTGGACTCGCTCCATCGCCGTCAGCCATGAGGACTAATGGAAAGCTGGCACTCCCCAAAAGGCAGAAGGTAAGCAAAGATGGGTGGGAAGCCCATAAACAGAGGGAAAGATGTAAGTAACCCTTAAAAAAATCAAGCTGGGAATGGCCGGGGCAGGAGGATCCAAGTTCAAGGCCAGCCTGACAAAGGTAAAAGATCTTGTCTCAAAAATGAAAGCTAACAAAAGGGCTAGGGAGTGGCTTAGGTGGGAGAGAACTTGCCCAGCCTTCTCGGGATCTGGCTTCAATACTCAAACCACACACACATGTAAGACTTTTTCCCAATAATGACCTTTTTCTTCCTCTCGAAATACTACCAAAGAGAAAAATCCAGCTTTCTGACTAGCATGTGTGACAAAAAGGAGAGAGAAAAAAATGACAGACCTAAAGAAAAGACTTCCCCCACCGAGGGTGGCCTCCTAAAGGCCCAGTTCTCTAGCAGGGCTCAAGTCTATGTCCCAGTTTCCTCCCACCCAGGATGGAGCAATGACCACTCAGAACTCCACATTTGCTTGCAGTCCTATTTCCCCCTGCCTTTCCCTGACTTTAATTACACACTTCTTCCAATGCTGATATCTAGGGGGGGGATGGGGGGGTGGGGGGGGAGGGGGAATAGAAATAGCAGATGAGTGGAAAAATAATTAGAGTTAGAAAAAATGCTACAGCTAGCATTCTTTAAGCTTAAAAATGTCTCCTACGAATTATTATGGGTAATTGGAGTGAGTTTCCTCAGCACTAAATTACTTTGTTCCTTTGTTGATAGCTGTGGTGCAGCTGCTTGAGAAAAAAAAATACCCATACGGAAGGGAAGTTTCTTTGGTGACATTCAAATTGTATTTAAGGGGACCAGAGTCAGCTACACATTCTGTGTGCCATCTCAAGAAGCTTCTGTTGGCTGGTTAAATGGATCACAAATGTGTGAGTCCAACAAGCAGTGGGCCAGGGCTGCTCATTATGAGAGTGGGTGACACACAGCTGGCTGCTGGGGAACCCAATGGGTGTGTGAATGCAGGCAACAGGTTCCTGGAGCCTGAACCATCCCTGTGGGCTCTTTGTACGGCAAGGATGTCCATGTGTAAATTTCATTAAATATCCAAAGCTGCTACTAGAGCTTGAAAAGGATAAGACCTAGATTTGGAACAGCCAAGTCCCTACCTTCCAACCTCTGGTATTTTCTCACCTTCAGGCTGGTCCCATGAGGCAGTGGGCAGCCTGGAAATCTTTGGTGACCGTTCCTGATGACACTGACAACATGATTTAGCTGCACCCTTAAGCTGAAATACAGTAATCCTGCCCTATTTGAGGATTGACTGCATGAGGTTTTGACCAAGAGCAGTCAAACAAATAATAAGCAAGTAGCAATCAAGCTAGGCATGCTAGCACAGGCCAATAATCCTAGCTACTTAGGTTGTGGACACTGGGAAAAATCATAGATCAAGGCCAGCCCAAGCAAAAAGTTCGTGAGACCACCATCTAACCCAGTAAAAACCTGGGCATAGTGTGTTATACCTGTCATCCCAGCTATCCAGAAGTATAAACAGAAGATCATGGTTCAGATAGGCTCAAGCAAAAGTAATTAATTAATAGAAGCACAAAATGGCTGGGGCATAGCTCAAGTGTGCCTTCCTAGCACGTACAAGGCCCTGAATTCAAGTTCCAGAGCCACCAAAAAAAAAAAAAAACAGAATTACAAAAACAAAACTTGCAAATCCACTTGGTATAGATGAGCTCACAGTTTTCCAGTTGTGACTGGTTGGGTTTAAAGCACTGTGTGCCCTGCTAAATGCTTCCCTGATCTTAATTTTGTGAAAATATAGCATGTTCCCCAAAACATAGGTGGTGCCCCCAAAGCATAATGAAAGTGCTTAAAGTGCTTAAATGAGGCCATCAGGTGAATAGCAGAAGCTGGGTGGAATTATGGGAAAAATGAATGGGACATCCACAGCACTGAGCCAACTCTATGTTTCCAGGGCACTTGGGTTTTCCTCACAAGTGGTCATGGAACCATGTTCCATGAATACACCACAGGCCAACTGTGCACACTAAGATCAGGGTAATAGCTGCAAACAGGACGTAAGATCACTAGGAGTGAAAGTATCTAAGGACAACATCTAAATCTGCATTTAGGAGACTCGCATATGGGAAGAGGTGGACAAACGCTGTAACAAATAAGACAAGGACCACAGAGACCTGAGACAGCACAGCTCGGAGGACAGACACACACAGTCATCTGAGCCCTGGCACACCTCACTAACATCATACCTACAGCCTTCAAGGAGAGACCATAAAGGAAGGAAGGAAGAGGCATTTGAGTTTCACAGAAAAATAAAAGCACTGGCCATTCTATTGTTAAGGCACAATATGGACGCGCAGGCTCATGACTCTCAGAGGACTCTTAACTTGTGTTGCTCCTGAGCAAAATAATTAAAGAAAGAATACTGCTCTCCCCAGCAATTGCAGGAGTGAGGTATGGCTAGAAGCTCCCTGCAGGACCACAGCGAAGCAATTGTCTCATAGTAACAGCACATTTAGTGCTCGGGGCACTGTGGGTACGCATAGCTGGGCTGGTCATTCCCTGCTGCTGCGTGGGAGGACTCTGAATGCAGCCTCGCCACAGGTGACAGCCCCGGAGGGAGCCAAGAAAATGGATTTGATCATGTGAGGTCCCCTTACTTAAAAGGATATATTCTGCGTATGGCCAGGATTAAAATAGGAAACAGGACCACTTGACTCTTTCTGAAAACCAGAAGGCATATGCTTCTAAAATATAGGGCTTACCAACTAATTGACACTACGCTCCTTGGACCACGTTAAAATAAAAAAAACATCCGGTGAAGATGCAGGGCTTCCAGATGAATACACCTGCCCAGAAAAGGGAGCAGCCCTACCTGTTTCCTCAAATCCAGAGAGTTGAAACTATCACAGCTCTCCTCTGATGACAGTGTTTCCATGGGAACATCATCTCGGAAACCCACAAAGTCTTCATCGTCACTGGGGGCGTTGAAGATGTCAGCCACTTCTTTAGGGATCTGTTGAGGATGCCGAAGAAGATTAAAACACAGGCTGCTGAAACGGCTGAGGGGAAATTCTCTAACAGAGAAACAGGGATTAGCATCCTATGACTTTTTCATTGTTACCCAGAAAGCCCCGGTAACCCTCCGTGTTTTAGCTGACAGGTACCAAAAGAAAAAGGGAAGATTTATTTCAGCTTCAGATACATACCCTAATTTACAGCAAATGTCAAGGCCATGACTACAAAAAAGGCCATTTGATCTCTTGACCACCAATCCACAGGCACCCGATGCTCAGAAGCCAATGAGCTCTTTTTCCTGACAGTAGACCCATTCATCCTTAAATGGTACTCATGTAAAAAAGATCCTATCAGTGTCACCAGCTCTCTTGATCCTTCTCACTTCCACTTCTTGGTTTCTGTTGTCGCACTGATTCCGACATGACAGTTCACATGAGAGGCTTTCCCTCTTGCCTAGGCTAGAAATCAGTTTCAGTGGTTGTAGAATCAATTCCAAGAGAACTTCAAGGCGATTAGGGGCAATTACTCCCAGAAGGAATGCAGTAGGTGCCTTTCATCTGCGAAACCGGTGTCTGCCAACAACTCACTTTCCTATATCAACTACCCATAAAAGGTCCCAGAAACACACTGAGATTGTTCACCCAGCACCACTTGCTACCACATTTGCTGTCTTTCTCTATTTAAAGAAAAATGAATCTGAACCATAAGCCATTGCTACTATTGACTGATTCCTCCCAGCAAACAGCAGTTGAAGAATAAGCCAATTTAATGTATGTGTACCCACATTGTCTAAAGAATCTATCTGCAGGCAGGCTAAATTCACTTGCAAACAACTGAGCATGCATCTGACAAGGATGAAGATAGTCTCCTGATATCGTACCTAAAATAGTTAACATTATTATCATCTACTATGAACACTTCATCTTACTACCTACTGCTGGTCCCAAAATATTTTCTACAATTTCAAGGGGCAAAGAGGAGCCATCCAAACAAGGTTTGGGCATTGTTCTGATTCTTCTGTATTTTATGCTGGTACAAGGGCTTGAACTTGGGGTCTGGGAACTATACCTTAGTTTTTTCACTCAAGGCTAATGCTCTGCCACTTGAGCCACAGCTCCACTTCTGGCTTTTTGGTGGTTAGTTGGAGATAAAGAGAGTCACGGAAGCCGGGTATCAGTGGCTTATGCATGTAATCCTAGCTACTCAGGAAGCTGAGATCTGAGGATCACAGCTCAAAGCCAGCCCTGGCAAGAAAGTCCGTGAGACTTTTATCTCCAATAAGCCACCCAAAAAGCCAGAAGTGGTGCTGTGGCTCAAGTGGCAGAGCTCTCGTCCTGAGCTGAAGAGCTGAGGTATAGCACCCAGGCCCAGAGTTCAAACCCCATGACTGACCAAAAAAAAAAAGTGTCATGGACTTTCCTGTCAGGCTGGCTTTGAACCATAATCCTCAGATCTCAGCCTCCTTAATAGCTAGGATTATAGGCACGAGCCACCAATGTCTGGCCTTTTCTGATTATTTTTATGAACCCTTTATACCGTTTTCCCCAACACTGACTTATTAGACGACCCACAACAGCTGCCTTGTAGAACTATTTGACCTTTGAGCTTATTTCATTGTTTTATCAAGATTCAATTCAGGTTAAACATCTGGGGCAGCAATTCTGTACAAGTGGTAATGGCTTCTCAATCCATGACACAAGGAGGCATGAAATGCCAAGTTTTTATACTGGTAATCAGGTGTGTTTCTTAAAAAATTACTTGTAAAACCTTTCAAGCATAGCCATTGTTCATGCATATAAATTGTTCTGGTTAGTAGATGACATTTCCACACAGGCACGTATGGTTGCTGTGCATATCCACGCAGGTACAGTTCAAAAGGAGAGAGCAGAATAATAAACACGCATGTAACTGCACAGCAGTCACCTGCCCAGGGCTCACTCTGCTTCTTCTGTAACCCTCCTCTCCATCCTCCTTCCTTCCATATCTTGGAATTAAGCTATAATTAAGCCAGTAAGTCAGGACCCCAACCTAGCTCTACACAGCTCAGCTGCAGTTCAGATGAGGAGGCCTGCCTCTTTTCTTTGGGGGTTAGGAGGGGGGAGCTCACCTTCTCAGTCTTCTGACTAAACCCGGGCCTGCTTTAGATGTCTCTGTATCTCTGTGACCTCTGCCAGCCCCACACCTCGATTAACAGGCCATTTTAAGAAACTGAAAAACTATAAAAAGATACCTTCAACTGCCAGCTGGCTTCCAATCAAGTATTTACCTTGAAAATAAATTAGTGAACCACTGTTCATTTAGATTTTTATATTCTAAAATTAAGCATGATCCTTTAATTAAAGCCTTTCTATATCTTAATGCTATAAATTTATCCTTCCTTGATTAACAAAACACCACCGCCTAGCTAGAAGGAGTATATTTGTTGTCTATTAATTATTTTTATGTTTCTAAGGTTTTTTTGTTTTGTTTTATTTTTGGCACCACGAAGGTTCTTAAGGCCTACTGTTTTCTAGGCCACTCTTTTGCTTTGGTTCTTTTTCAGATAGGGGCTTCAACTTTTAGCCAGGCTAGCCTGGACTGCGATTCTCCCATTCAGGTCTCCTTCGTAGCTGGAATGACAGATGCACACCACCACACCTGGCTTACAGACTGACATGAGGTCTGCTTAACATTCTGCCCAGGTTTGACTTGAGAAACTATCCTCCTTATGTCCACCTGACAAGGGCGAGGATTAGTGATGTGAGCCACCACACCTGGCACTATCCATTTTCAAAGGAAAACTGTATTATTTTTTAAAGCCTTTTTGTCTGGCAATGGCATCAGTAAAGCTGCAAGAAATGTTTCTTATTCCATGAGTTTTGAGAGCATTATTTTGCCTGAAAACAAAGAACAGTGCTGGAGGACTCACACCTCCCACATCAACACTTAATGTTACACTCACTGAAATAATGTGACCCTCACATAATGGCAGAAAGCAAGGAGACTAGAGCACAAAATATCCTCTTCTTTATGGTCAAAAGAGTGGCAAGGCACTAGTGGCTTATGCCTATAATCCTAGCTACTTAGGAGGCTGAGATCTGAGAATCATAGTTTGAAGCCAGCTTAGGTAGGAAAGTCAGTGAGACTCTTATCTCCAATTAACTAGAAAAAAATCCAGAGGTAGTGGTAGAGTGTCATCCTTGAGCAGAAAAGCTAAGGGGCAGCACCCAGACCCTGAGTTCAAGTTCCACTATTGTCAGATACACACACAGAAGGAAGAGCATCAAGAACACTCAAAGTAGAAGGACATTCCTTCAACAAAAAGTGCTTGGGGGAACTCTATGTTTCCACATTACCTAAATCACCTCAAAAGTCAACTCAAAATTGATCAAAGGTTTGAAAACAAGAGCTAAAACAGAACAGACCCACAAGAGAGCAAACAACAGATGCAGAGAAAAAGTCTTATATAGAAGATAAATCATCAAAATTGAAATTATGACTTAGTCTGCATACTTCCATAACCTCTTCCAGGCTTGGGGACATGTCACAGAGAATCAAACTGCGCTGTCCAGGGCTCCCCTCATACTCTCTCTCAGGATCTATTGACAATGACTGGGTGAAGACGCTACTAGTTATAATCTTCCTTACTGCTGTGACAAATTATCTCACAGAAATAAAGGAAAGATTGAATAAATAAATAAATAGAGGTAAAACTAGAAGATTCTTAGAAGAAAGCGGGAAATGCTTCATCATAGTGCATTTAGCAATGATTAAGTATGGCAACCAAAGAAACAGACAGGTAAACTGGACTTCATCAAACTGAACACCTGCCCAAGACTGGTAGCTCACACCTGATATTCTCTACTATTTGGGTAGTAGAGATTGTGAGGATTGCAGTTTGAGGCCGGTATGGGTTAAAAAAAAGTTCATGAGCCCCCATTAAAAATCTGGGTGCAGTAATGCATGCCTGATAACCCAGCTAACTTGGGAAGTATAAACAGGAGAACTGCAATCCAGGTCAACCTGGGCAAAAAGTGAAAATCTATCTCCAAAATAGCCAAGGCAATTAAGGAATGTAGCTCAAGCAGCAGAGCACCTGCTTAGCAAAGTATGAAAGCCTGAGTTCAAACCCCAATACCACAAAAGGAGGGGAGGGGAGGGGAGGGGAGGGAAGGAAAGGTCCTTATAGCTTTTGTGCAAAACACACTAGGCAGTATAAAGGCAACCTATGGAACAGGAGACACTATTTTCACTCCTATCTGAATAAGGAATTCATGTCCAGCATAAATAAATAACTACAGCAACTACAAGCTCAATTAAGAAATGGATCAAGGGCTGGGAAGTTGGCTCAGTGGTAGAGCGCTTGCCTTGCATGCCTGAGGCCCTGGGTTCGATTCCTCAGCACCACATAAGCAAAAAGAAAAAAGCCGGAAGTGGCGCTGTGGCTCAAGTGGTAGGGCACTAGCCTTGAGCTGAAGAGCTGAGGGACAGTGCTCAGGCCCAGAGTTCAGGCCCCACAACTGGACCAAAAAAAAAAAAAAAAAAAAGGATCAAGAAAATGTAACATATGTATATTCACAATGGAATTCTATTCATCTATCAGAAAAACTGATATTGTACTATTCATAAGGAATGGAAAGACCTGGAAAAAAATTCATTAAGTGAAGTAAGCCAGACCCAGAGAAACACAGGCTGCATGGTTTCCTTCATTTGTGGTGAATAGAATACGCCTATAAATCTACAAGTAAACATACCAGGTGGTAAGTAAACAGTTACCAATGAATTAACTGAAATATAAAAGACTCCATGGAGAGCTCAAATAGCATAATTTTCTAGAAAGACGAGGTCAAAGCCCAACAAAATAAGCACCGGGAAAGGGGTACATGCAAGAAGGGGATAGGGAGAGAGGTAGAAGAATGAAGGGGGGGAAGGGAGGGAATACAGTGAAAAATTAATTGTGTATACTACAAAATCAAGAAAGGGAAGAGGGAGGTTAAAGGGATGAGGATGCTGCATGGG